CTGCTGACAATAGGGCCAAGAAGTGGGAGCCATGTGCCTCCAATGGACAAGGTGTTCGTGCAATTGGGGGTTTGAACCAATGCATCAGGTAACAGTCTTCTATAGAATTGTACTAGCCACATATGATGTGCCATCCTTGCAATTGCAGTAAGAGCCTGGGAGAAGATAGAAAAGCACCTCTACATACCTCTCCCCACCCACATACTATACAATAAAATACAGGACTAGGTAGCACTTTAAAGACTAACAAGATGGTTTATTAGATGATGAGCTTTCGTGGGCCAGACCCACTTCCTCAGATCAAAAGCTCATCATCTAATAAATCATCCTGTTAGTCTTTAAAGTGCTACATAGTCCTGTTTTTTGTTTCAGCTACACCAGACTAACACGGCTACATTTCTATCACTATACTATACAACTGGGCCTGCCCTGCTGGCTCTAGGTTCCTCAAAGACATAATGTTAAAGGAGAACAAACACTTCTCTAGATCTGCTGGCAGGGCTTCTCCTCATGCACTCTAATATGCTATTAGCCTTCTTTGCTACAAAGGCACTGTTGACACACTGTTGAGTTTGGGAGGCCCAAGGTGGCTGGCTGTGCCACTCCTCCCAGCTAGGGCAGCAAGCAAGAGGGTGGGCAACGGGCAGCAGGGGGCCTGAAGGCATGAGGCTGAAAGCAACAGTATTGCTCTGCTTGCCCTAAGGCGAGGTATGGCAGAATATTATCTTTTACACTTATCTGTCTCCGCCTCCTGTAAAACCTTTATTCCTTGAATGTATCTGCATTAATTTTTCTTATATTCAAGATGTTCTGAATACCTGGTATCCTTGCTCTCATCTGCTTTGGGGGAATGGTCTATAACCACAATAAAAATGATTTTATATTGAAGAATCCCAGGGTATGTCTACACTACCCTCCTAGTTCGAACTAGGAGGGTAGTGTAGACATACCCACATTTATCATCTGCAAGGGGAAAAGTGTAAAATATATGCTGCCCTTCTGCTCCAAGGCAGTGGATTAACAGAGCACGTTTTCTACTTCAGAAATCTCTGTAGCACTGATTGCAAACAGATAAGTCTCAAACATATGGATCCAGGCAGTAAAATCAATTGGAGGCTCACCTGGGCTTTGCAGAAAGGGTACAGGTGGGTTCAGAGGCAGAAGATCCATTCTCATCGCCAAAATGTTGTATCATGCAAGCAAGATACTAACAAACTTCAACAGGAGTTTATTTACCAAAAGTGAAACCTCTTTACAAAGCTGTTGTACCCCTCTGTAGCTCTCACTCAGCCCTGGCTAATCTTCTCCCCCATCCTTCCTGTTTCCTGTGCTTCCAGTCTGAACTGTGCACACACCACCATACTTCAGAAGGGGAAGAACAGCCACAAGCTCACTGAACAAGAGGTGAAGGAGGAGTCTGTTACATTTACTAACAGGAAATAAGGGAAAACAGTGCATATGGAATCTCACTAATTCTATGAAAGTTGTCCTGTGGCACTTTAGGGCATTGCAGAGCAAAAGTCAAATTAAGCTATGCAACTTCAGCTATGTCAATTGTGTAGCTGAAGTAGAAATAGCTTAATTTGGCTTTTGGTGCTGTTGACACTGCGAGAATTTGAAGAACACTCTTCCTTCTACTTCCCTTACTCCTCATGAAATGAGGGTTACAGGAGTCAGGGTATGTCTACACTGCAGTGTTTTTCCAGAAAAACTATACTTACATCCCTACTGCTATTGCATTTTTTCAAAGAAATTCGAAAGAATGGAGGGTTTTTCCAACAGCAGTAAACCTCTTTCTATGAGGAGGAAGCCTTTTCCGGAAAAAGGTGCATGTGGATGCAGAAGAGGGAGTTCTTTCGGAAGAAGAGGACTCTCAGAAATAACACAGGTGCCCTGGTGGTTACTGCATCCATACTAATCACAACGTAAATGCAAGATAGAATCCAATCAATGTGGACGCTATCTTTCAAGAAAGCACATCACTTTTTCGTTGCAATTTTGCTGTGTGAACGCTCTCTTTTGAAAAAAGTTTTTCTGGAATATCTCTTCCAGAAAAGCTTCTTCCAAAAGAAGCCTGCAGTCTAGACATAGTCTCAGAGTAAACAGTCCTCCAGCTCACTGTTATTTCAAAATAATGTCTTGCTGTGTAGACTCACTCTTTGTTATTTTGGAATAATGTCAGTTATTCTGAAATAATGCTGCTGTGTGGACATGCCCTTAGAGCAGGGCTACTCAACATGTGGCCCATTTGTTTGCAGCCCGCAGTTTGCTTTGGGCATATGTGAAGCTCAACACACGGCCCGCAGGTGGGAGCCAAAAAAAAAAAAAGTAGTCAATAGTCTTCTGTTGATATGCATTTTGTAGTTAAATTCCTGGACTGGCATTGCTCATTAAAAGTGCTGTCATATGGGTGGACATCGGGTAAATACTGCATTTTATTAATATCAGCAGAACTGACTTAAATGAGGCCTGTGTGTTGTGTAGTCTTGCCTTAATCTTTGTATGGGGCTGGCCGGGGGAGATGGGGGGGGGGTCAGGGAGAGCGCTGGCCAAGGGACATCAGGAGGAGGAGAAGCAGCCGGCAGGAAGCAGGGCTTGTCGGGAGGGTGTCAGGGGGAGCAGGGCTGGCCAGGGGGTGGGGAGAGAATCGGCCAGCAGGGAGCGGGAATGGCCAGGGCACATGCAGATCCCAGGATGCTGCCTGTCCCATGCATGGTCCCAGCGAAGCACGAGCAAGTCTGGCTATGGCTCCCCAACATGCTTGAACAGCACTCAGGAGCATGACCAGAGGGTCTCCTCCTCCCCAAGGTGTCACTTCTACATCAGACGCAACCAGAGACTCCCAGCACCGATCATGCCCCACCTCCCAGCCACTCCCCTCGCCCCCACCAGGCTTCTGTCGGGCGCCCAGCCGGAAAACCAGAAAATACCAGACATTGCACATGTCCGGTATTTTCAGAAATTTTTTCCTAACAGAGGGCCCAAAAAACGGATTGTCCGGTTAAATATTGGACACCTAGCAACCCTATATTGGCCCCTTGCTCCCTGCGACATTTCAAAGCGGCAGCACTGCGTGGAGCTGGGGACCAGCTGAGGCCTCCTCCGCTGACACTGGCTCTACGTGGCGTTGTCACTTTGAAACGTGGCCTGGAGCCAGGGGACAGCTGAGGAATCCCCCGCTGACCCTGGGCTCCAAGTGGTGCTGCTGCTTTGAAACGCAGTATGGGTCTCTCTCCACAGCGTTTCAAAGCAGAGCGCGGTGTGAAGCCAGGGTCAGCTGGAGTCCTCAGTTGGCCCCCCCGCTCCCCATGGTGCAGCTGCTCTGAAGCCTCCCCTCCTCATTGAGGCAGCAAGAGGGGGGGAGGAGGGGAGGAAACAACTAGTGCATCAACCATCAGATAAGCTTTTGCTTATCGGATAGTCGAATAGTTTTTCACATCCCTACTTCCCAATAGGCAGCCTGGAGCCGGATACCAGAGCCAGAAATCACAGAACTGGAAGGGACCTTGAGAGATCATCCAGCCCAGTCCCCCGCCCTCATGGCAGGACCAAGCACCTTCTAGACCAGTGGTCCCCAACCTTTTCAGGTTGTCGGGCGCCAGGGGGCGTGGCTGTTCACCCGCCGGGCGCCAGGGGGCAGGGACACTTGCGCCCCGGGGGCGGCCCCCTCCCCATAGCCGCATGCCCGGGGGCGGCCCCCCCCCATAGCT